ATACTTGCCGTTCCGTCCTCTGCAAAGCATTGCCGAACATGTCGCCCATGGACAATACTTTTATGAATTACCGTACCCCATCCAAACTCCAGCCTCTCCCTGGACACACACTCTTTTTTTTTGCTCCGGTTAGACCCACTGAAGAGGATGTTTGTTGTCTGGCCGTGGTAGTTTTGTGTTTTCTACAACGTACGATGCCAACACCCGCCTTGTGGAGACTTCTTTTATGACATTGACACGAAAGAGCGGCGGCAAGTGTCCGGGCAGCTGGTTCGTTGTAACCATTCCTAATTTTTTCTTGCGTCGGTGGTATGAACTGATTCCATAGCAATCTACGAAATAAAACGTTATCGACACGTACGCGAACCCGTTATTTTCGATCCACGCGTGTCAAGTCTCTGGCATTCAGAACGTCGCAACAATGACTGAATGACGCGCTGCTATTCACCGGAATGACCAATCCAACGGCCATCGTCTGACCCCAACAATTAAATTCGTAAAGATCCAGCGATCCAGAGACTGCTGAAGACGGAAGGGACCAGCGCGCGCAACGATGCAATGCGAGCCACCGACAACGTGGCCCGTCGCAACCTGCCCTCTGCCCAGGGATGCTGCGCTGTGATCGGCACGCTGTAGGGCCTCCTGACGAACCCAGGACCCGTGCTGAAGCTGAAGTGAATCTCTTGATCTGTTCAAAGGTTGGGACTCCAGCAGATTGGCCACTTTGCAAAGTCTGTTTGGCAGAGTCCTCGAGTTTAATAAATACGCGATTTCAGCGTGTTTACTTTGCAACGGCGACTAGCAAAAGTAAGATACATAAGATACATCAACGTGACTAGACCAAGCGGTGCTGTCACGTTTATTTAGTGGCCGACCGAGTATCGCACAGCAGTGAATGTTTTGTTTGTGACCCTGTCAGCCCGTCTTGTCCCAATAACGCAAAGCAGGACGAAAACATCCAGATACTCCTGTACACTTGATCCAGAGGCCCCGAGTCATTCCTTGAACTTTGTGGCCTCGTTCGCTCTTCCCTTTTTCAACTTCAGTTATTTCACTTTCCCAAGGGTAAAATTAGAGGAGAACGGACGCTTGACGCTAGCGGGTGGGAACACGCTACTCCATTTTCAGCCCTAGCGCATGGGCCAAGTCAAGAGCGGCTGCAGCCAGCAGCAAGTGAGAAATGCGAAAAGAGGGGGAAGGGGCCGTCGACGGTCTTGGAAGTACCTTTGTACCTTGTACCATTGTACCTTGTACCCTTGTACCTTTCAACGTCCATCCTGGGCCTGCACAGGACTGCCAAACCAAACCGAGATATGTCGTACATATTGCTCAACATCCATATTACCCTCGTTATGACTGTCCCCCCTACGAAGTATGGCCAGTCTCCCAGCTTCGACGTGACCCTGGAATTTGACAGATTTGATTTCGTTTATTTTTATTCTGTATATTCAAAAGGTCGGTGCACTCTGCATCCCGCCCGCTCGTTTTTGTCTCTGCTCTTCCGTCTGACCCCCCGTCTCGTCCCTTGTCCACATTTGCGATTTGCAGGAACACACGAGGATTGGATGGGGATGCTTGAAAGTGGGCTTGTCGGCGCAGGCCACTGACTGAAAAGAATTACGCCGTACCACGGAGCGACACAGGATCAACAGCCTCCAGCGTTGCACTGGCACGAACGGGTGGTCAGCCCTGGGAGCTTCCTCGCCTGGACAGCGACACGCAGCACCTGAAGAAACAGGTATTTTCTGTACGGCAATCAGGTCGCAGTTCGCCCACCCATTTTTAGGCCTCTCTTACCCGTGCGCAGTCTGGCTGCGCGGATTCATGGCCCGCGGAACGGAATGCAGCCAACGTGTAGTTGTCTTGAAGAGCAGTGAGGGCGAGGGGCGGGGAGCGAGGGGAGCTCGAGAATGTGACAAACTGAAAGAGAAATACAAAGACGCCGAATAGAAACTCCGAAGGAAACGAAACGAAGTAACTGACCTTTCTTTGCTCCGTTGAGTGAGGGAAAAGGGAACGGTACCACGACACGCTACGCTGACGGCTGAGACACAGAGCCAAGAAGAGCAAGCCTCCGTACATGCTCCAAAAGGCTGCTCTTGTCGCACGAATTCCCGTACGTAGGGGGCGGGTAAATGAACAAATGCGAGGCACGAGGCATCGAGGACAAGAAAGGCCCAGGAAACGATGGCCGAAGAAAAGCGAAAGAGACAGGCACACAGGCTGACAGGGTTGCACGAATACACTGGAACAGTACGCCGAATGAGAAGATGGCGAGACACAACAGGGGCGGTGCCATAATATTGGACCGTGGATGTCGCACGTCGTCAGTTGACTGTCGGATGAGGCAGGCAGGCTCAAGAAAACCAAGACACGACAAACAACCCCAAGAACACTGCAGTCAAAGACAAGACGCCTCCCCCAGGAATACCAAGACCACCCAAGAACTCGGGGCAAACAGGCCGACGAGAACGACATAGGACCAGGGATGACTGCTGCCCGTTGTCGAAAACGTGTTGGCAACCCGTGAACGTTTACTGGTGAAATCTGACGCCGTCTCGTATTTGATACAAGCAAGGAATACACCAGCGCACCCAATTCGAGTGCTGGCAGGAGGTGCTGTCAGGTCGTCAACAGGTTCCTGCGACCTCGCTTGTCTTTAGAATCACCGTCGAGTCCTGTCAACATATCAGTAAATCGACTTCCCACGCCGCCAATTGATTACTTTCCCATCCCTTTCTCGTGCGTGTGCATTCGCGCTGTAAGCTCCGCGTGCTCTATTGCGTTGGGTCAGCAGTGAAAAGACGAACGCAGGCCGACAACTAAGAGAAAGAAACAAATAAGAAAGGGCAGAGAGATGAGAGAAAGCGGATGTAGTCTTGTGGGTCCGCACGAGACCGACGAACCAATGGAACCGCGTTTCGACCCACCCTTTCTCCTCAGTTCAGGACGGACAAAGCAGGAAGGAGGTACCGGGTACAAGTGCAAAGTACCTGCCCTTTGGTAAACAAGCGGTGGCAGCGATGGTAGCGGTGGCTCGTCCCCCATGTCCATGAATTAAACTTAATGCCAGAAAAAACAAAAAATCTTATATTGGCTGCTTGGGCCATTTGTCTGGGGGAAAGACCGGGTCAACACGCCAAGGGTCAGGGCGCTGCCACGCCAAAGACGGCCAAGCGGCGCACGACGCCTCGCACGCTTGTACCCAGTACCAAATCCCTGGAGTCCTTCTACGAACTTGCCCAGAACACCTGCGACTCGCTGCTTCAGTGGCTTTGCTTAGTGGCAAACCGCTGCCCCTTGCAATGTCTACTGAGTATCTTACACAGTATCTGCCAACCAGCGCCCCCCCCCTAGTCCGCTCCTTCCTGATTCCCTTTTGCGGTCCTTGCCCCCCTCGTCCTGGGCCATTATGAATCCCCTCGTTCTTTCCCTTTGCATTTCCCTCTGCATTTCCTTCCGTCTCACTTTTTCAGGCAGGCTCGAGGCAGGCAAAGCCCGCGGTCTGTCTGAACTTTCCTGTTTGGTCTCTTTTATGTCTTGGTGTCTTGGGCCTTTGTCGTGGCGTCGCCGCTTCTCCTCTTCCCTCCCTGGCCCCACTTTCTGATTACCCACACACCCATAACCGCCCACAAACTGCACGCACCGTGGCACCTTCCCCGAACCACCCACAAAATAGCAGACTACCACTTAACCAGAATTTGCCAGTCTTTTTCTTCTCTTCTTCCACCGGCCCCTTCGTCTCTGGGCACTGCCCTCCCCATTCGCCAGAAAAAGCGGAGTGCAGGCCCTGGCGTTCGATTGCCTCCCTCCTCTTTTCCTCTCCCCAATTTCATCGGTGTCACTGCCTCCTGCCTCCTGCCTCCTGCCTCTTGCCCTCCTGCTTCAGGCTACTGTCGCTCCTGCCCCCTCTGCTCCCTTTCCCTTCCCTTCCCCCTGTTCCCCCAGTCGCTCTTTCCTCACGCCTGGGTGGTGTCGTTTGTTCCTTACCACTTTGTCCCTGTTGAAAGTCACCTCCTCGCTCCTTCCCCAGTCTTCAGTCACAGAGTCAGTCGCAGACCCATCCGCCTCTTGCCCCGTCTCCTTCACTTCCACGGACCCTCGACTTCTTTCCTACAAACTGCCACACCCCTTCCACTTTTCTCACGTCCGTCCGGCATCCACCTCTCTTTTCTCTCACTCCCTGTTCTTTTGGCACAATTTGACCTCGTTCTGTTGCCTGTTGATTTGTGTTCAGAGAACAGATCAGACTTGTATGTCCTTTCTTCAAACCGTACGCGCCATTCGCAATGTCCTAGCCTTTGGCTGTCTCGCCCTGCTTTCGCTTTACGTCTTTTTCCGACTCCCTCTTTTTTTCCGGCAATCAAACTCGCAACGATCGGCAGCAACGCCCGCCCTTTGCCTTCGCCAAAGAACATCTCACGATTCTTGTCACAACGTTACTCGCCTTGTCTCTTCCGCACTTCTCGAGCGGACAGGTGACAGTGACGAAGCAGACGTACTGGGAAACGACGACGCCCTACGAAACGGAAAGACGCATCGAAAGGAAACCGACTTTTTGTCATGCAAATTTTGGCCTCGACACGACACGATTTTCGATCTGTCGACTTTTGAAACCCACCCGACGACACAAGTAATTGACGACGATTGAATTGACGACCTGTTGACGTCCTGTGGACGACTACCTCGCACGGCCGAACCCGTGCCACTCTTTGTTTCCGACCCCGACGGAACTGGACGACGCTCTTTTGACGCGGACGACGACTCTCGACGACTTGACTATCTTTGACGGGACTGGAGTTTTTATCATCCCCTTCAATGCGGATCTGCACTCGCCGCACCTTTGCGTCTGCCACCCGCACGATCCCAGCGACCATTGTAGACGGTTTCGTCTCGTTTTCCGGCCCTGTCGCCACGTCCGGAACACCTGCCCGACGACACGACTGATACGGTGTCACCGCTTCTCACCAACGCGCCCCTCCACGGCGTGTCCCTTCGCCATGGCGATCTTCGCCATGGGTTGGCGAAGGCCCGACAACATTGCCGGCTCCTCTGCGCAGGCAATCATGGTCGGGTTCTTCGTCGCAACCGGCGGCCTCCTCTTCGGATACGACACCGGCTCCGTCAACGGCATTCTTGCCATGGAATCCTTTCTCTACCAGTTCGCGGGCGATGGCAGTGTACAGCGCACGCCCGACTCAACACCGCCGCCATTACCCGTCAGCCAACAAGCCATCATCGTCGCCATGCTCAGTGTCGGCACCGTGGTCGGCGCTCTGCTGGCCGCCCCCATTGGCGACTACTTTGGCCGCCGCAGATCCATGATCGCGGCCGTCGGCGTCTTCGTCTTTGGCGCTATTTTCCAGATTTGCTCGACGAACATCCCGACATTACTCGTCGGAAGGTGCGTTGTATTCTCTCTACCGTTGTTGTTGTTGTTGTTGTTGTTGTTGTTGTCGTCTCCCTGTTCTCTCATGTCCTTTTTATGCTCTCCGAGTATTGCCCAAGCTCGCTGTGATCATGTCTACCTCGTCCCGCCAAGTCATGATCAATAGCTAATACTGTGCAGATTCTTTGCGGGCGTCGGCGTCGGAACCATATCTGTTCTCGTGCCGCTCTACCAGTCTGAGATGGCACCCAAGTGGATTCGTGGTACCCTTGTTTGTGCTTACCAACTCTTTATCACAATCGGCCTCCTCGCTGCCTCCATTGTCAACATCTTGACCTACAAGTTGAATGGATCCGCAGCCTACCGCATCCCCATGGGCCTGCAGCTGACATGGGCCTGCGTCTTGACTCTGGGCCTGCTTGTCCTCCCCGAGACCCCGCGCTACCTCGTGAAGCGTGGCCAGAAGGAAGCCGCCGCTTTGTCGCTGAGCCGGCTGCGGCGCCTCGACATCACCCATCCGGCCCTTATCGAAGAGCTGGCCGAGATCATCGCCAACCACGAGTACGAGCTGGCCCTCGGCCCGGACACATACCGTGACGCCTTCTTTGGCTCCCCCCACCTAGGCCGCCGCACACTGACCGGCTGCATCCTGCAAACTCTGCAGCAGCTGACGGGTATCAACTTCATCATGTACTATGGCACCAGCTTTTTCCGCCAGGCTGGCCTGGGCAACGCCTTTACCGTGTCGTTGATCATCAATGTTGTCAATTCTGTCTCCACCATCCCCGGCCTGTTTGTGGTCGAGTCCTGGGGTCGTCGTAACCTGCTCATGATTGGCGCCGCCGGAATGGCCGTCAGCCAGCTGATCGTCGCCTCCTTTGCCACGGCCGCGCCATCGGACATGGCCCAGACGTCGATGCAGATATTGGTCATCTTTGTGGCCATCTACATCTTCTTCTTTGCTGCGTCCTGGGGCCCCGTGGCCTGGGTTGTCACGTCGGAGATCTACCCTCTCAAGGTCCGCGCCAAGTCCATGTCCATGTCCACTGCGGCCAACTGGATCCTCAACTTTGCCATTGCCTACGGGTCGCCGTTTTTGGCTGGCGATGGCCAGGGCTCCGCCCAGCTAGGCTCCCGCGTCTTCTTTGTCTGGGGCTCTTTCTGCATTGTCGCCATTGCCTTTGTGTACTTTATGGTGTACGAGACCAGCAAGATCAGCCTCGAGCAGATTGACGAGATGTACGAGCGGGTGCCCAAGGCGTGGCAGAGCAAGTCGTTTGAGCCCAGTTGGAGCTTCCAGCAGATGCGTGACTTTGGCTTCTCGGAAAGTGGCATTCCACCCGAGGAGATGACCGACGACGCAAATGGCAGCCAGACTGGCCACGGCGGCGACGACCACGGCGACGCGCCGCCGCAATACACGCCCCACGCAGCAGCAGGAGGACCGACGTCGATGGCAGCAAACACTGCGTCCATGCAATCGAATATCCCCGCCACCCCCTTTCCCGCCTACCGGCAAAACAACCCACACCGCCGCCCGCCACCGAATACGCCCGCACCAACAGCAACAGAACGCTCCGATACGATCAGCACAAGTACATCCTCAACAACAGCCGTGTCGTCATCATCTTCGTCTGATGCTGACAAGATGCTGGCCTCCATGGCCCATGTTGACTTGTCTTATTAATGAAGAAAAGAGCGTGATATAGCATTGCCGAATCCGCTCCTTGCTCTTCCTGAACGTTTACGACACACTGTTTTGCATTTCATTATACCCTACTACTTTGTCAGTTCCTACAAACGACAAGGCATGTTGTTGCTGCTGCTCCTGCTTTCGTGCTTTTCGTCCTCATACGTCACATCTGGGTTTTATCGGCACCGGCGAACACAAAAGGGGAACTCGATACCTTTCTGCGCTCTTTATATTTTGGTTATTTCTCTCTTTTTTTGGTTACGCCTTCTTTTTAATTTTGTTCGGCCTACCGAATCGACATACCCACTCGTTTGCCCTACCAACATATACTATATTATATTCCCCTGTTTTTATATAGTAGCTACTGCCTTTCCAGGACAAGCCTCTCTTACCTTATTATTTCCTTATGTCTTTATTGTCTCGTTGGGTATTGCTAGCGTTGGAGTTTTATGATCAATCTCAAAAGGAGTTCTATTTACCAGGGGACACGGTCAGGAGAACTGGAGGACAATGTTACTACTATTTTCATCAATTTATTTTTTGTCAAAGCTTGCTTTTGACCGGCCGCGATCCATACTTACGTGCAACCACGACTGCCAACAACGGGCGGAGGCTTTCCACACTGCCCTTGACGAAAGCGTGTATTGCTTTCGTTTGGTACATCTCTTTCTCAATTGTGGATGTCTTATTGTCCTTTCATACGCACACACACTCACAAACACAGATATACTCTCATACCATTATTACTATTCGTTATCACATTAAAAAATGATGATACGTTTTGCTCAGAACGGCACCGTCTCGGTGAGGTGGTGAGTGCCACTTCATTGCCGGTTCTATTGTTGATGTCACCGTCTACGACCACGACTGTTTTCTGTACTAACCGATCCACGGAGAAAGTATGATCGTCACAGGCCACTCGTCGCTTGCACAGCTGTTCCGCCCTTTCGGAAGTGCACACTAGCAGGGCATGGGCCTTGTGTTCGTCCAACGGCAGGACTACCATGAAGAAAGACTGCGAGCAAATTCCCAAAGGGAACAAGGAGGTTGGAGTGAAGAGGACAGCTTGGAGAAATCAGCCCACCCCAGTGCAACCTTTCTTCCCTTTGCAATGCCTCTCTTGCATGGCAATAAGCAGTATGTACTCGGTGCATGGCCGTCTGTCTGTTCCTATGTCGACCGACCGCCGATATGTCCTCCCCGGGAGTGACCAAGGCCGAGGCTCTATACCTTTACTCACCCTCCCGAAACGGCCCTTTGTGACCCATGTTCCGCATTCCCAGCCCATCACCATGCATCGCATATCGACCGGCGCTTTCACCGAACAAGGGCCTGTTTTAGCACTCTTCCCAACCTTCCTCGCTGTCTTTTCGTGGCTGTTTTTCTACATTGTATGGACACACGACCGAGTTACCTCCATAAGGTTAATGCGCCTTTTCGTCCCCTGGCATGGCCAGCAGAATTAAAGCCGGCAAACGGCCACCGTGTGCTGCACGTCGGCTCTTCTCACTTCGACTGTCAGGTCAGTCATACTGGGTCATGCCTTGGCGAGGAACGATGACACTCCTGGTGTGCCCATCGGTCCTATTGTTATGCTTATGCGGTGCATCGAGGCAAGCGGCCGAGGCTTCACCTAGCGAGGAGCACCACGATCATCGCATGAGCTTCGCCACAGTTCCACGGTTCCACCAGCCTTATTATCTAGTCGTCCTTTTCGCGGCAAAATCAAGGCAGAAGAAGTGGCAACAGAGAAACGGCGGAGATGGGAAGGCCTGGGGACGTGGGACCAGGAAGTAGACGATGAGAAATCAGGATAGGGCCGACGCACGCCCGCTCGCTACGCGGCTGCAGCACACCGCCCACGGCGATGGAGACACGATTGAGACACATCACACTAGTGTTTATTTCCAATGGCCAATTATGCGGCACTCGCATCGAACTGACCATGTCTCGTCCAGTTGCCATGTAGACGTCGTTGGCGCTTGTCCGCTGTCCACTGCTTTGTACAGCTATTTCGTCCAAAGTCTTTGTCCCCCAGACTGGAGCACACCAACCACACCCAATCCGAAGCTACTGAAGTAGTGCGTCTGGGGAAATTCATCCAAAAATGTGAGTGGATCCTCGCAGGTCCCCATGCTCACCGGGCAGCCAGTACAGAATACCACCCCCTCTTTCTCATCGGCCCGTTGTGTCCTTTTTCTTGCTTCTTGTTTCCCTGCGCCGTGACAAATCTAGCGTCCTTTGTCAAGACCAAGACGGAGTACGGTCCTTTTCAAAATGACGTATCGAGGATGCCCGTTTTACTTGCTTTGCATGGGCAGTCCTGCGAGTGTGTGCCCCGTCGTCGGCTCCGTCCTGTTCGTCTCGGCTGGCGCGTCGTTTCTGGGGATCGGGGAAAGTCAATCACACCAGGACGTACGGTGGTCGTGTCTCCTTCAGCTGTCTTGTACAAAAGCAGTGGTCCGGCTCCGCTGATTGTCGGAGCCCACTGCGGAGACCCCGGCGAAGCAGATTCGAGGTCGCTCCGTATGCGCGGAGTACCAGCGACTGCCGATCTTCTGTCAACCCAAACGCAGCTTGGAGGTATCTTATTCGCCAACGCTTCTCAGAGAAAAGAAGCGCCTGTTATTGCTGCATTGCTCTCTCCGGCGATCTGCCAAACACAGTCGGACGAGTCTTTGGGTTCCAGGGCCGTCGACATCCTCAAGACCATCACAGACATGACTTTTGCCCGTCATATTTGCTTCTTTTATGCCACGCGGCTCAAAAACCCATCTCAGATGAGATTTACGTCTCATCCGTTGCGATGACTTGTGAGACACGGCAAGAAGCACATTAAATGCCACGTGCCCGGGTTGTCGACGGGCAACGTCGTAGGGTTGCGGGGTGTATTCGCATGTCGTGGTACATCCACAATACTGGAATGTAATAACAGCCGCCCAGTAGGCTGTCATCACCACTTTTGTATAAGCATGTTTTCGCTGTTATTTTCGCTTTCCTTTTTTACTTGTATTTTTTGGTTCCTTCCTCTTCTCGGCAAGCCCACAAAGCGAGAGAAGAGACGGCTCGTCATGGAAGGACCACGTCAAGGAAGGAGCACTTCACAGCCCTGGCTCTTTCCCCATGCCGTGCCATTCGTTGCTCATCGTTCTTGCCGAAGCAACATCCGACCAAGCGTGATGGGAAAGAGCTACAGGCACAACAAATGGACTAAAAACAAGTAGAAAACAAAAAGGACATGGAAGCACCTGCCGTTGTAGAAGAACGGGCAAGAATGCAGGGGGTTGGCCCACATCTCGCCGCACCCAGACCTGCCCCAAAGTACGTGTCGTCATCCGTCGCCGGACAACAATAACATCAACAACAACAACAAGGACGACGACGACAATGACAACAAAGAACAGCAGCGAACAAAGAAACGTGTACGGCACACGTCGTGCGACATTACCGGCTGCCAACACCTAGTGCCCAGAGTTGGGATGGCTGTCCAAAGAACGCCCGTTTGTACCTCTGGCGTAGTTCGACCTGTGTCGATCTTCATCGATCACTTTGTGCCATGTGCCGTGCACTTGTGCACTTTTGTGGCGACGACGACTGCAGGCTCTGTCACCGACAGAAGCGGGCCGATTGCCCCGCCTTCCGGTGTTTTGTTTAGCAATGCCGGGGCGTCCAGCAACTGGAAAGCTCTCGTATGACGTCTTGACCTCTTTGATCGCTTTTTGAGCTCTTTTGAGCTTTCCTGAGCTTTCCTGAGCTTCCCTGAGCTCGCGTTGACCTCCTATATAGCCCTCTTCCTATAACCCCCCTACTGTCTCCTCAGCCGCGTTCCTCATTGTTGCACGCTCGTTCCGCTTGAACGCTACTGAGACACGATCGAGACACTGCGTCTGTGTTTACTGTCTTCCGATCCCTGGAATTTTGGTGTCCTTTTGAGGAGCTTCACAGCCCAACATCCTCGCGGACTGCAAACATGGTCGCTACGTCCACCGTGCTGGCCGGTGCTTGGTGGGTGGCTGCGGGCCTCTGTGCCTCCTCCGGTAGTACGGCCACGGCCACGAGCTCGGCCGTCAGAGCCCAGTTCACCGTCCCCGAGTCAGCCGATGTCGGCCAGAACTTGCTGCCCTGGATCGACGACCCCGAGGCCATCGACCCGCAGGCTGTGTGCCCTGGCTACATTGCAACGGCCGTGACCTCGAGCGGTGGTCACCACCACGACAGCCACGGCCGCGATGCCAACACCACCGCTTCGGGCGTTGGTGCTACCTTTTCCGCCTACCTGGACCTCGCCGGCAAGCCCTGCCACGTGTACGGCAACGACGTCGAGCACCTGGTGCTGACGCTCGAGCTGCAGGCCGTCGACCGTGTGCGTGTCAACATTGCGCCGCGCTACATCGGCGCCCAGAATGCCTCCTGGTTCGAGCTGCCCGAAGTGCTGGTGCCCACGCCGTCCGGGACCTACTCACCGCCGGCCGCAACGTCGTCCGGAGCCGTGAGAGCCGTGAGACACCGCGCAGCTTCCGGGGATGCAGCTGCCGGCGGCTCGCTGACGCAGTCGGACCTGGCATTCAGCTGGTCCAACTCGCCCACGTTTGGCTTCACCCTCACCCGCATCTCCACGGGCGACGTCCTCTTCTCGACCAACGGCACGAAGCTTGTGTACGAGGACCAGTTTATCGAGTTTGTCTCGCCCCTGCCCGAGAACTACAACCTATACGGCCTCGGCGAGGTCATCCACGGCTTCCGTCTCGGCAACAACCTGACGCGCACTCTATTTGCCGCCGATGCGGGCGACCCCATTGACGGAAACATTTATGGCAGCCACCCATTCTACCTGGATACGCGCTACTTTGACAAAGCCACCGGCAAGTACGCTGCCAACGCCACGGCCGGTTGCAGCTCGTCGCCGGCCGCGTACGAGTCCTACACACATGGCGTCTTCCTCCGCAATGCCCATCCCCAGGAGGTGCTCCTGCGTGAGCCCAACATCACCTGGCGTGCGCTCGGCGGCGAGATCGACCTGTACTTTTACGCCGGCCCCTCCGCCCCCGACGTCATGCAGTCCTACCAGCAGACCACCGTCGGTCTTCCTGCCCTGCAGCAGTACTTTGCCTTTGGCTACCACCAGAGCCGCTGGGGCTACGAGAACTGGACCGTCCTGCAGGGCGTCGTCGACAACTTCAAGGCCGCCGACATCCCGCTCGAGACCATCTGGACCGACATTGACTACATGAACCAGTACCGCGACTTTGACAACGACCAGACGCGCTTCGGCTATGCCGAGGGCGCCGACTTCCTCCGCCGCCTGCACGCCAATGGCCAGCACTACGTCCCCATTGTGGACTCGGCCATCTACGTGCCCAATCCCAGCAACAAGAGCGACGCCTACCCCGTCTTCGACCGCGGCGTCGCCGCCGACACGTTTCTGCTCAACCCCAACGGCTCGCTCTACATTGGCCAGGTCTGGCCGGGTTACACCGTCTTCCCCGACTGGATCGGCGCTGTGCTCAACGGCTCCGGCGCCTTTGGCTGGTGGACCAACGAGGTCGTCAACTGGCACAAGAACGTGTCCTTTGACGGCATCTGGATCGACATGTCCGAGGTCTCGTCGTTTTGCGTCGGCTCCTGCGGCAGCAACAACCTGACGCTCAACCCCGTCCACCCCAGCTTCCTGCTGCCCGGCGAGCCCAACAACCGCATCACCCAGTTTCCCGAGGGCTTCAACATCACCAACAGCACAGAGGCGTCGTCGGCGGCGTCTGTCGCGTCGTCGCAGGCTGCGGCCACCTCGACGCCCTCCTCGCCGTCGACGAGCACCACGTATCTCCGCACAACGGCGACGCCCGGCACCCGCAACGTCAACTACCCGCCCTACGTCATCAACAACGTCCAGGGCGACTTGGCTGTGCATGCCGTCAGCCCCAACGCGACGCACCACGGCGGCGTGCTTGAGTACGACACCCACAACCTCTACGGCCACCAGATTCTGAATGCCACCTACAATGCCCTGCTGTCAGTCTTCCCCGGCAAGCGGCCCTTCATCATCGGCCGCTCGACGTTTGCCGGCTCTGGCAAATGGGCTGGCCACTGGGGCGGCGACAACACCAGCTTGTGGGCCTACATGGTCTTTTCCATCGCCCAGGCGCTCTCTTTCTCCGTCTTTGGGGTCCCCATGTTCGGCGTCGACACCTGCGGTTTCAACGGCAACTCCGACATGGAGCTGTGCGCCCGCTGGATGCAGCTGTCGGCCTTCTTCCCCTTTTACCGCAACCACAACACCCTGAGCGCCATTTCACAGGAGCCGTATGTGTGGGCCGCGGTCGCCGACGCCTCGCGGACTGCCATGGCCATCCGCTACAGCCTGCTGCCGTACATGTATACGCTCTTTGCCGACGCCCACGACACCGGCGCCCCAGTAATGCGGGCCCTGGCCTGGGAGTTCCCCACCGAGCCCTGGCTGGCCAGTGCCGATCTCCAGTTCATGCTGGGCCCGGCCCTGCTGGTCACACCGTGTCTCGAGCAGGGCGCAACGACGGTGAATGGCGTGTTCCCGGGCGGTTCGAGCAGCGGCTCCGGCGGCTCCGGCGGTTCTTCCGGTTCGGCTTCGGACACGCTCTGGTACGACTGGTACAACCAGACCGCCGTCGATTCGTCTTGGCTGGCGCCTGGCAACAATGTCACCATCGACGCGCCCCTTGGCCACATCCCCGTCTTTGTCCGCGGTGGTCACGTCCTGCCCATGCAGAAGCCCGGCATGACGACTGCCGAATCGCGCGCCAATGATTGGAACCTCCTGGTCGCCCTAGACGCCAAGGGCGGCGCTGTGGGCAAGCTGTACCTCGACGACGGCGAGAGCGTGCACCCCAACGCAACGACCTGGGTGCACTTTGCGGCATCGTCGGGCCAGCTGACGGCGACGTCCACTGGTAACTACACCTCGAGCGGCAGCAGCAGTGGCAGTGGCAGCGCCCCTGCTCTGGCCAACATCACCATCATGGGTGTGGCCTGCCAGCCATCCAACGTCTCGTGGAATGGCACTGCCCTCATGAACACCCAGTGGACCTACGGCAAGAGCACGCAGCTCCTGCAGGTCACCGGCCTGCAGGACAGCACCAGTGCAGGTATCTGGGACGGCAAGTGGAACCTGTCCTGGGCATAGGGCGTCGGCGAAGACGTTCAGTCTAGGATTTTGGCTGAGATGGAGTAGCAGCGAATTTTCCACCTAATGGACCTCCTTTCGTCGGAACGGTTATGCTCGAGTTTCTTTCCTTGGTTCGCACGGTTTTGGACACTCCTTCCTAATGCTTTAGTCTAAACAAAGTCGTTCCGTTGCATGTCAGCTCATCTTTAAATAGATTTCATATTTATTTCGGTCGTAAAATAGGCAATATGAACTGAGAACGTGCGTTTGCTTGGTCCCATTGTTCCTTATCGTTTCTGTCCCTCAAGAACCGAACTATAATGCAAGCAACATCTTTCATGTCTCAGAGAAGATTGTCCTGCTGCTGCTTCTGCCGCCGCAGCTCGTCCCGGAAGGCGTTGCCGGTACTGCCGCTGTCGTTGTTGGCCCGCGGCCGGTTGGCGTCATCGAACCGCTCGTCCGTCGGCGTGCCAGCCAGGCTGCCAAGATCGCTGTCGCGGCGTGGCCGCTGGGGCACCGACCAATGGTCACCCGAAAGCGTCAGCGTTGGCGGTCCACCGGCGGGCGGTCCACGCGGCGCGTCGGCATAGGGCGACGACGGCCCACGGCCACCAATATTGGTGTTGGACCACGACATGCCAAAGTCGTCGTAGCCGTCGTCGTTGACGTCATCGTTGCCGCCGCTGCCACTGCCATTCTTGCGTGCTTCGCGGTTCTGCAGGTCAATCGCGTCCTTGCTGTCCAGGTTGACGGCGCCGACACGCTGGCGCCTCGACTTGCGCACACCATAGCCCTTGGATTGCCCGAGCTCGCCCAGCTTGCCAAACCGCGAGCGGCCCATGACGTTGCCGAGGCCGATGCGGCGCGTGCGGTGGTTCCAGATGCACGTGCCAATCAGCATCAGGGCAACGAAGCCCAGAATGCACGGCAGACCAATGTAGAGGGCCATCCCCGACGGCGCCTCGGCCGGCTTCTGGCGGTACGGCTGCGGGTTGGCCACCGTGACGACCGGGCCGGCAACGTGCGTGCTGTTGTTGCCTGTGGACAGGTAGGCCATCGAGATGCGAATGTTGACGCCTGCCGAGGTGGCACCGGCAAGCAGCGACTTCTCCACGTCCCACGCGTAAAACGACCAGCCGGCCGCAAGGGTGCTGGACGAAAAGGCCTGTGTAGTGATGGCGCCCGTGGTGTCGTTGAAGAAGTTGCCTGTAATAATGACGGTCGTGTTGGGCAAGGCCGAGAAAAAGCTGGGGTCCCAGGTGACTGACGGGGTGTTAGCCATGTTTGCCAGGTGAGCCATATTTTCCTGTATCCTGCCGTCTATGTTTTTTTTTTATTTGCAAGATCATTATACGCAACGTACCGTAGTATGTGATGCCCGGGTTCAGGGTGGTGCCGTTGGACGGCGCGCAGAACGGCGCGAGGTCGCCGTCGACATTGTTGCACACGGGGAACGAGCCGGCGCCGTTGGTGGCCGTGGCCTCGGGCTGTTCGGTGGAGGTGGCCGTGCCGCTGACAGTGGGCTTGGCCGAGAGCACGGTGGGCGTGCCGCTGATTGTCGTCAGGAGGGGCGTGATGGTCTTAGGGGTGCCGTTGCTGCCGACCGACACCCAGGCGTTGGTGGGTGCCAGCGGGGCAGTCGTGGTATCAGCAGCAGGAGCCGGGACCGCCGCTGGAGAGGCATGGACGGCACTGGCCGCAGCAAGCATGGCCGCCAAAAGACGGCGATATGAAGGCATTTTGGCGTTCGAGATGTCGATTGTTGAAGAAAGCGTCGGATGTAGAGAATGATGCAGTGTAAACAGAGAACAGCGATTGGGCACGCGTTTCAAAGCAGGCCGCAAAACGCAAAAGAACAAGACGCGTCAAAGTCGACGCAAGTGGTATATCGTACACGTCGTACGTGATGTGCTGGAAAACGAAGGGACGTGCTTGAAAAAGCGACTGAGGAGGAAACCCGCAAGATGCGCAGAGCTGCTGCAATGAACGAGTGGTGCAACAAAGCTCAGCGAGCGCGAACTGGTATCGACGCAGCTGGGGAAAGCAACAAGGCGAGGCCGAAAGGGAGGGACAGACGTGACGAACGCAAAGCAACGAAAACGAGGGAGAAGAAAGAGAGACAAAACGAAAACAAAAACAAGGACGTGATGTCCAGGAAAGGAAGAGTACGGCGAAGAGAGCGTTCCTGCCGTCGCTCACCACGAACCGGGGATTGGCGCGGAAGTCGCGCGTTGCAGTGGCTCCAGCATACCTTCCCCCTAATTAAACTTTACAAGCCTGCCGATTTCAGAAAGAATGGACACAGTGGAGACTTTGGTCCACTAATAAAAAAGCTTCCCTTTACGGCAAGAGCTAGTCACATTGCGAGAAAAAGGCAGGCACGCATTTTACCCCTTTTCTGATTTGCTCCGATCGCGATCGCCGAGGCAAGAGCGACAGAGAGAACTACGTGGTAGCACAACAGCAGGAACGAACAAGGCAAAGTGCCCAGTGTATCTGCAAATCCGCAGCAAATGTCACGTCGAAAAACACGAATGCAATTAACCGGGAAGAAAATGTTGGAGAATAGCAAAACAAAAACAAAACGCATCCTATGTGTCTATATATACAAAGCCCATGCCCTTGCAGATTTTTGTTTCAAGATATCAACTCCGTTCACCTGGTGGGCAGACGGCCTGCCGGCCGAGCCCGGACAGCCTGTGTCGCCTAATGCCGCCGCTTCTTTTTCTTCTTCTCGCCAAAGGCCTCGTCGTACACCTCTGCCACCGTCGTGTCGCCCGGTTTCCGCTTGGACGACGGCGCCTTGCTGCTCTTGATGCTCACCGTCGTGCTGCTGCCCTTCTTCGTGCCGCCGCCGTCCTGCATGGCCGCGGCCACCTGCCGCTCGGCCTCCTCCCAGCCCGGCACATCACCCTCCTCGACCTCGTACTGGTCGAGGGGCAGGGCGTTGATCAGCTCGCGCTGCTTGCGCCGGCGCACCTTTTCCTCGTCCTCATCGTCGCTGGCCACGTCCTCCTCCTCCTCCTCTGCAACACCCAAGCTCTTCTTGCCGGCCTTGGCGTTGAGCTCATCCGCAATCGACAGAGACAATGGCTTGAACTTGTCGTCCACCACCTCGTCGTCGTGCACACCCGATGCGTCCGCGCGGGACACGCCCAGGGGACCGCGTGCTGCGCGCGGCATCTCGGCCTCGACGGCGGCGGCGACAATGGTGGCAAAATGGCTCGTGACCTTGCGAAGAATCTTGATGAACATGGCCATCAGCTGCGAGACGGGCAGCGTCAGGTCGGCCGACACCGTGTCCATGTCCTTGCGCTGCAGACCGATGCCCAGCAGGATGCCCTGCATGACGCCCGTGAGCTCGACACCGGCCTTGGTGTTGCGCCCCTCGCCATTGGCAGCGGCCGCAGCCACACCCGGCAGCTTGGGCGCGCCCAGCCGGCCCGTAAAGTACAGGTGGGCGACTGTCGGCACCAGGTCGAGAATCAGGTGGTAGTCGAGCATGTTGTTCGCATACGACTCCAAGCGCTTCAGGTCAAACGGCGTCAGCAGCGCGTCCAGTTCGGCCTTGGTCAGGGCCGGCGGTGCGCCGCCGTGGGCAGCGTCGTCCTGGTCGGCGAAGCGTGCCGCACCAATGCGCGCGGCCTCGCTGATGCTCAGCGCAAACACAGAGCTAAAGTCGCGGAACTGGAAGGACAGCAGCGACAGGTAGCGCCGGTGGAAGTCGCGCGAGAAGGCGCCCAGCCACGAAGCGTCGCCGCTCGTGGCGCTGGACTCGAGCGGCCGCAGCATCACACACGTGTGCTCGCCCGTCAGCTCGTTGGCCGTCTGGCGCAGGTACACGGGTGCAAACGAGGCGCGCTTCCAGAACTTGAGCAGTTCGCCCGTCAGGCCGTAGCTGACACCAACGTAGTCCAGTGCGGGCGGCCGGCTCTCGGACAGGCGCGAAAACAGCGGCGGCATCGACTGGATGTCGCGCACCTTGACATTGTCGTCTTCGAGCAGCGAGGTCTGCGCCAGCTCCGCGTCGGTCACGCGCTTCATGGTCGCAGACGCGCCGTGGTTCTCGAGGATGTCCAAGTCCGCCTCCGACAGGTTCGTAAACTTGCCGCCGTAGTGGTCGCACAGCAGCTCCAAAGCGCGCGCCCCGTATCCGCTGCGCACGTAGTTGGGGTTTGTGGCGATGCGGACAATGCGTGCGCCGGACAGCGACGCAAAGCCGTCGTCCTGGAACTGCTGGCTCACGAGCCAGGGGATCAGGTCACCCGCAGGGCGCGTACCGCGGCTGAGGGCATTGAGCACGCTCTCGCGGCTGATGCGGCCTTCGAGCGCCACCTGGATAACACAGAGCGGCTCAGGCAGACGGCTGCTGTCCTCGGAGATGGGCGGCACCAACACGAAAAGCTCGTGGGCGGGGGCGTCGCTCATCAGCTGCAGGTCGTCGGGCGTGTTTTTGTAGTGACTGGAGACGTAGAGGGCAACCATTTGCTGGAGGAAGCGCTCGGACACGGCGTGGAAGGAGAAGAGGGTGTCGCGGTTCACCTGCAGGAGCTCGCACGACGACGGCGCTGGGCTGCCGCCCTGGGCACGCGGCAACTTGGCGTCGAGGCACAGCACGGTGTTGAGCCAGCTCTCGACGGCGTCGCCCTGGGCGTAGCGGATGGGCTCCGACAATGTGATTTCACGCAACGTCCGCGCCCCACCGAGGCCACCGCCCTGGTAGTCGAAGGGATCTTGCACCTTGGCGGCGCGGCCCGTCGAGCGGTCAGCCACGGCGGTCTTGCTGTCCTTGGACGCGGGCCTGCTGCCGCCACGCGATTGCTCACGCAGCTGCTTGATCAGCTTGAGCGACAGCGAACGACCGGTACCCTCGTACCCGTTAATGGTGGACGCCATGAAGACGAGGTACGGGCCCATGAGCTTGCGCACAAGCGGCAGCGGGATGGCGGCGGCCTCGTCAATAACCAGCAGCTCGGCCTGGCCCAGAACGTGAGCGTCCTGGGGACGGATGTACTGGATGGTCTGGCGGTGGTTGCGGTGGATGTTGACGCGGACAACGGGCTTGTTGGCGAGGTCCGGGTTGGTGGACTGGATGATGGTGTAGTCGACGTGGTCGAGGTAGCCGAGGGCATCGAAGCCGCGGAAGACAAAGTCGAAGAGGGTCTTGAGGTTCTCGGGGGAGGGCGATGTAATGAAGATGTTGGCGTAGCCGTGCGCCACAGCGGCAGCCACTGCAACACCCATGGCGGCCGACTTGCCGCGACCGCGGGCGGCCGTCAGCGCCACGGTGCCCTGCAGGGACTTCTCGGCGAGGGCGTCGGTGAAGGTCAGGAGGGCCTGGGCCTGGTCGAGAGTGCGGGCGAGGGGCACAAGGCTGCCGATGGGTGGGGTGTCGCTCAGCGAGTCCTTGAGCTCGGCGAGCTTGCGCGTGTTTTCGGAACGCGAGCCGCCCTCGCCACCGCCATCCTCGTCGTCGTCGTCGTCGTCGCTCGGGGGTGGCAGCGGCTTGACCTCCTTGCCCTGCGATATGGGCAGCACGTTGAGCTCATCGTCGATAACGAGGCAGGCGTCGCAGCCGCCGAGCGACAGGATGAAGCGCTCGTTGAAGCGCGGCACGACGTCGGTGTGGGCTTCGGTGCGGTAGCGCGAGTGGACGTCCATGGTCATGGTGTAGAGTTGGCGCAGACTGGTCATGCTCTTGAGCAGCAGCACGACCAGGCCGCCGCCCTCGACGGTCTCGACGGTGCGGGCCAGCATGTTGGGGGTCAGGGCCTCAAAGTCCTGCAGGATGCACATGCCGTAGGTGTTGCCGAGAATCTTGTCCGTCTCCTTGTAGTAGACATAGCGAATGTCATGGAGCGTCACAAACAGCTCAAAGGGGTCGTTGGTGTTGGCCTCGCGAACACCGCGCTTGACCTCCTTCTTGATCTTGGCCTCGCGCTTCTTGCGGTGGCTCGTAAAGTCGAGCAGCTTCTTCTTGTAGGCCCAGAGGACAGACTTGTTCCTGGGCGTGACACCGGCCGAGGAGGAGCTTCCGCTGGCGACATCCATGCTGGACATGATGTAGTGCAGGTGCACGATTACGTCTTTTGCGCGATCGCCGACGACGACGAAGATGCTGCGCTTCTTGCTCTGGACGCCATTGCGGATGAGCGTCGGGATGCGGGCGTCGACGGCTTTTCGAGACATTGTGGCTGTTGGGTGTGTTGTGAGGAAGAAGAGAAAAGGAGGAGGGAGGGAGGGAGGGAGAGGGAGAAAGGGAGAAAGAGAAAAGGAGACAGGATTCTCCTGAGAACAGATGTCGTCGACAGGGAAGGAAGCAACAAGTCCACTGGCCAAACAGGAAGGCTCACCTCACAGCTGTTCTGAATTTTCCTGGGTCGCTCTTTTCTTACAGAAATTTTGGCGGAGAGTGATGTTCTGCCGGGCGGTCAAGGGGGGCAGAAATGCTGGGCCATGAAAAGTGGGTCTACCAAAAGGCTTGCACAGTTTGATGGCAAGAACGACCTGTATGCCAGCCGCGTTCACACGTCAAGGCGATTTATGTACATAGATGTGTTTTTTGTTTGGTTTCATGATGCAATGTATGATATTCCATCCACGTCCACCAGGTCCCTTCTATCGTGTATGATGCGGCAAGAGATCATGCGCGCGATGCAGGAGATGCAGGGCAAAAGAAGACTAGAAGCGGAACCACGTCAAGGCAAGGCAAACAGCAGATGCACAAAAAGAAAAGAAAAGGAACAATCGGAAAGACTTTGAGAAAAAGGTGCAAATAAAAAATAGAAAATGGTTCTAAAAATAATACAGACAGGAGAGGCAAAAGAAAAGAGACTAGGTCGTGTCTGACTGTTCCCCGTAACACACGGCATTCTTACGTGCGGTCAAGCTTCCGGCGCAGCACACGCGTGCGCTTCATCAGCTTCTTGTACTTCTTCTTCTTCATCCGCAGCTTTCTCTGGCGCCTGACGCTAATGGCCTCCATGCGCGGCAGGTCCGACGTGCCGTCGTGGTACGCCGACGGCAAGCGGTGCCGGCGCACAAGGCCGCTGCCGCGTCCGCGCGGCAGGGCCTCCTCGGCGCCCTCCTCAAGGATCTGGGGCGAGTGGGCGACAATGCGCACCTCGCCGTTCTCGTCGAGCTGCTCCTCGATGGTCAGGATGGCCTTGAACACACGGGTGCTGCGCGGCTCGGCATCCTCGTCGAGGGGGGCGGCGCTGTTGCCAGTCGACGTCAGCTCGCCGCCGTCCAGCTCAAAGGTGATGGTGCCAGGGGGCGACGACGAAGCAGTGTCGGCGGCGCCAGTCTCGGCCTCGGCCTCGGCCTCGGCTTCCGCCATCTCTGGCACAGGCGGCGGCGGCGGCTGGAACGGCAGGAACTGGCCCTGCAGGGTGTCGAGCTGCACGTAAATACCGGCGTCCGAGCCGTCAGCATTCTTGAACTCCAGCTGTGAGGACGACGAGGCAGTGTTGCTCTCGCCGCTGGCGGCGGCCGCGGCCGCCGCGGCCGCCGCGTCGTCCTCGAGCTGCTGCTGCAGCTGCTGGCGGGCGAACCGGGCCTGCTCCTTGGCCTGGCGGGCGCGCGAGCCACGCTGGGCCGGTTGCGTTGTCGTGGCGGTGTTGTCATTCACAGACAGGCTGGCCATGGGGCCCTCGAGATCGTTGACGGCGCGCGACAGCGTGCGGATCACCTCGGAGGACTTGTTGCGGCCGCCGGCGCGGGGCGCAAAGATGGCCGCAAAGGCGTCTTCGGACACGATCTTGGGCAGGCTGTGGGTGATGGAGATGGGGCGATGCTGCGAGAAAAAGGTCGACAGGGCGAGGCTCTCGACTGGCAGGTGCTGTGTCGAGGGCACGCTGGGCAGCTTTTGCACCGATGCGCGAGAGGCGTCCTGCTTGGCCTTGCGTTTGCGCTTGAACGAGGAGGAGGAGGAGCTCGACGAGGACGAGGAGGAAGAAGAGGACGAGTTCGAGGGCGTGGACGGCACCCCCGGAAGGGCTTTGGAGCCATTGTCTGGGCTGGAAGGCTTCGACGACGAGTAACGACGCTGCTGCGACTGCTGCGGCGTCAGGCTGCGGCTCGGGTGTATTGTCTGGCCGGGCTGGATCTGGCCGATCGAGGCTGCTGTCGATGGTGCTGACCAGTGGCCGGACCGCACGAGGGCAGCGGCCGCCGGTGGTGCAGCGGAGGATGACGCCACCACACGGCGAACCGAGGGAAACATGGTGGGTGGTGACGCGGCGGCGGCGGCGGCGGATGAGGACGAGGACGAGGAGGAAGATGAGCCGATGATAGGGAGGAACAGGGATCGACGGTGAGAACGGGGAAGACGAAAAGAAAAGAGAGTCCCAGGCCGACTCGCGAAATCACCAATACCCGTTTCAGATCTCAGAACGATCGGAGAGGGGAAAGTGACGGGGGTAGGACGTTGGAGTGAGGTGGTGGTGGTCAGGCGTCCGGCAGACGGAGGATGGAAAGAGGAGGAAAAGCCGAGAAAAACAGGCGGAGTGAGAAAAGTCGGTATGTGGATGACTAGTTTTTGCGGTCGCTGTTTCTCTTTGCTGTGGTTGTAGCCTGTCCACGCACTTTTGCGGGCTTTTTGGCACCTTCCGTGGGGTTCTTCAGGCTTTGGGGGCCTGTTTGGTGGTGATTTTGGGAGCGTTAGGGGATGTCGGCAATGGAGCGGGCGCCACACTCGGCGGGTATAGGCTGTATTGCCAGGTTTACCATCGCCTGAGGCACTCCAAATTGGCCTGTAAAACAAAAGGTGCAGTTGCTGGCGGCGGCTAATATGTCTTGGGCAGGAGCGCGGGTAGGGGAAAAGCAGGGACGGAAGGGGCGACTTTGGAGGTGGCGCAATGCGGCCCACCAATGGCAGGTGACCGCCGTCCCTGAGTGGTTTACATGCCACCAACGATAAGCTGTCGAGGCGACGAGCAAGGCAAGGGCGATCGCCAGTACACCATCGATGACCAACCGATGGGCAGCCACACAATGACCGTTTGCATCACCACGACGACAGCGGCCGGCCGTTGGGCCGAGTGCCACTGTCTGTAGACGAATACCAGGACGTACATGACCCCGTTGCTTGAAACAAGTTCGTCGCAGTATTGCAGGTCTCACGTACGTTGTACAATCACGCCCAAAGTGACCGGTATTGTGGTATACTGATAAGATACGAAATTAAAAACCTCCTATGAGAAGTCCAGAATGCCTCACCGTGTCCCGGTTCCCATAAAGTCCCGTTCCTGTCATGAAAAATGCCGCCAAAGAGGGCCTTCCCTAAATAACAAAAGCTCTCGCACATAGATGTATATAATATGTCCTCCAATGCTATGCGCCGGTTGCATTCCCCTGTTTGTAAAGAAAAGACAGAGACGAAGTAACGAAAAACAAAATACAAGGGACAAGAGACAATGTATGACAAAAGAAGAGCATAAAAAAATACAGTGGCACAAATGAGAAAAGAACTTGCTTTATTCCGAAAAGGTCGAAACAAATGAACAGTTGTCATGTCGTCCAACGCCAGCAGCATGAAGATTCTAGCTGGTTGATTAAGAGATACAGAAAGAGGACGCTCGTGGCATCGCTCGGCGTCAGGTAATATATAAAACGGGCAGTCGCAGTGACCTGTCCGAGTCTGGCATGTGACCAATATCCAAAAGTATGACGAATATTGGAGACCTGTGACCTGGTCGCGGGGTCGAAGAGAGTGTGCGGCTATGTGCAGGACTCTGCGTCCAAAACAATAAGCCGTATCCGCCTTGGCTTGGCTTGGCTTGGCTCGGCTTGGCTCAGCTTGGCTGCGGTATATATACAGGCCAAAATGGCTGACTGGCCAGTTCACGCCGCACCGCAAGCCAAGCCAGATAAGCGATCGCAGGAATAGATGCGTGGTCCATGCCGCGCGTGTGGTGGGTTCGACGATGCCGACCTTGTCGATCACGGGAAGCCACGGTGCGAGGGGTCCTGGGGATTGTGCGGTGGCTGCTGCTGCGGGTTCTGCTGCTGTTGCCGACGACCGGCTTCGCCACGGGCAGCGACCCACTCGGCGTTGCCGCTTTGGCGGCCGTGGACCTCAGCAGGCAGCTTGGTGTCGTCCGAGCTGCTTGTAGGGCGACCCTGGCCGCTGGTGCCACTGGGGCCGGCAACGGAGCCGGGCACCAGACGCGTGACGGCCTGGGCGATCGAGTTGACGACGTATTGGCGCAGTTGGCGGTCCTCGGCCGAGTCTTCCTTCTCCAACCGGAACCGCTCCTCTTTGCTCATGTTGGTGCGGCGCAGGTTCTTGATCTCGGCCATGATGTAGAGCAGAACGGCCTCGGGGCACTTTGTCCGCTCCAGCGAGAACTCGCTCTTGCGGACGTAGCGCCGGGTGACGTCGGTGGCGCCGTCGATCGAAAAGGCGATGCAGTACGACATCTTCTTGCCCCAGCCCTCCGTGTACAGCCGTGGGTTGTCCCAGGACTCTTCGCATGCGTCCACGTGGACCCAGCGCTTCTGGTGCGCGGAGTACACCTCCGTCCACACGTGGTCCTCCGCATTCCACACCCACCGCACGCGGGCGCCGACGGCACGGCACAACATGCTGAAGCAGTTGGCCCACTCGCCACAGCGACCCCGGCGCGTCTGCAGCAGCCGCCAGACGTCACTATACCGCGGAAAGCGCTCGTAGGCGCCGCATGCATGGTTGGAACAACGGTACAATTCGACAAGCAAGGCACCGCATGCGCTCTCCTCGGGGGTGGGCCGTGTATTGCCTTGGCCAACGGTGAGAGAGAAGCAGACGGGACATGGCGGGTTGTTGACCCAGGAAAAGAAGGACCGCTTAAACCATCTGGAGGGAGGTCAGTCAGTATTGGCAAAATAAAAATAGGCAACGGTCGACGAAAAGCAGGCGGCTTGACCGACAAGGGCCGGGGGTGATCATACCTTAACAGAGCACGAACAACACAGTCCTGGTAACCCCACACAGGTTGACGGCCGTCACCCATACTCTCGGCTTCGGCACGGAAGACTTGGGACTCTTCGTCGGCCTCGCTGTATATCCGGTCAAGCGGGATCACCTGCAGCGCCTCGTCGAGCAGGCCCGGATTCTCGTATTTTAATGGTGTCGTGGACAGTGTGACAAGAAGGCTTCGAAACTGTTGTTCGCGGTCGTTTGGTGGGCGCGGGATCATCGGCAGGTTGCGTAATGAGGAGTAGGATGGCGGTGTGGGCGGGGCAACAGTAGAGGAAGACGAGGCGGAGGAAGACGACGCAAAACTGTCACCGTTGCCGTGTGCCATGGGTGAGGCAAAGCGATCGCCGCCGTGCGAGGTCGATGGCCGGCCGGGGGACGAGGGGTCTGCGGAGAGCGCACGTAGGTTGTTGGAGGAGGCGGCCTCGCGTGGTGACGGCGAATCGCCGCGACGTGACCGTGCTTCTGTCAGGTGGTTTAACCGACGGGTGCGTAGCAACTGCTCGAACCGCAGGCGGAGGTCGTGAGCCCATTCCTCACCGAAATCATCGTCGACGCCCGCAGGCGTGCGTGTTTGGCCAGATGCCATGATGGCGCGCGCGCGTGTGTGTGTGTTTGGGTGTTGAGAGGAAAGAGAAACAAAATGGACCCGGCTGCTGCCTGTCGACTATGGGAAGTCAATCAGGGTCGGGAAGAGCAACGAGCCAGGCGGAGAGAAAAGTCAGCAAAAGGCAGACAACGCGCGGCTCTCTTCTGGTGGTGCCTGATGATACGATGTGCGTATGTGGTGCCGGAAGGAGGCTGGAGGCGATTTTGTGTGTCGAAAGAGTTGTTACACAAGGCAAGAGGGATATGCTGAGCAATTGCCCGCTGCTATGTCGTGGTTGGCAATTTGTGTTTCCGTCGTCTATCGCGGTCGATGCGTGGTAACGGTTGGTCGATTCAGCGCAGAGGCAGATGATGCAGCCACTACTCGTCCGCAAGCCAATGGGACAAGGTGTGCACACGCAGATGCAATGATTGCGTGGGTAGCGCAAGGATGCGTGATTCCGTGATCCGTGAACCGTGATCCGTGATCCGTGACCCACGATCGAGTGGAGCGTTGCTCAGATATGAGAGGTGGTCGTCGTCTCGTGGGATTTGATTTCGTTCAGTTCAACGTCGTCGTTCGGTCTGTATATATGGTTGCATCTATGTCGTAAATTCGTCTCGTTCTCTACCGAAGTCGAAGAAGACGCGATCGCTATGCCTCAAACAAGAAAGACTAAACCGGCAACGGGCTGCAAGAAATCCAAAACGAGCGGACGCCGTGAAGAACGGAGGCAGTATGAGATATCCAAGCTGGGGCTGAAGTACTCCAGGTAGCCGTTGTTGTGTCTTGGACCGTCGAAATGTCGTCGCCGCCAGTGGATGCCGTGATTCCCTGCGGTCGTCAATGTCGTGCACCTCTACAGGATTTGAGTTGCCATTCGCAGGTCGCAATTCGTCGTCGTTCCTCCTCCACGCCGTCGTGCAGCAGAGTTGTTCAAGCCAAGATCGAGTCGAGTTGTTCCGGGGAGAGAGCAGCGGACGAAGGAGAAGTAAATGGAAACGAGAAAAGCCGAAGAGAAGAGGCGAAGCGTCGAGACTGGGACGTCGGCAGATGGTAGACGCGGAGCGGTGGAGTCGAATTACAAGGCGTGGATGAGAAAGAATATGGACGAAGAGGAAGAGGGAAATGCGGGTTGGGTGTAGGGAGAGAAGAGAGAGGGTATGAGAAAGAGTTTGTCGCCTGGGGTCAAGGCCGAGTCGTCTGTGGGCGCAAAGAAGCGGAAGGAATACGAATGGAAGTTCGAGATGGGGGAAAGGAAGGAGAGACCGAGAGGCAGGCAATGATGGGAAAGAAGCGTACAAAGTGCAGCTTGGTACCGTCGATGACTACCTAGCGCTGTCGTCAGTCTTGCCTTTTTGGTAGGGTTGTCTTTTTGTCTGCTGCCTTCCGAAGGCGTAGGCGGCCGGAAAAAGCAGCC